TATAAGTCAAAATAAAACCTCCCCATAGATACAAGGATAATAGTTCGGTACGCCAGACGCGCATTTTGTATTTATAAGATTGCCAGTGGTGCTTCAACCAAATCAGAATCTTCATGAGAATTTGTATCAAATACAGCCATAGTTATCTGTGCCTGGGGTAAGCAATCACAGCAGAGTTGTCTACTGTTCTATTAACCTTCGGATACGAAACATACACCTGCAGTGACATTCTTTGCACTTGAAAAAAATATCTCTGTAAGGGTCAGATGCATTCATATTACACAATTGTGTATATTTATTTCAAACATTTAACTTGAATATTTCAGGGTTGGCAAAGTATTACCCGCTCTGAAAAACCCAGGTGTTTCCCGGGCTGGGCAATACTCCCAGAAACGGGTAATACTGGGCATTACTGGGCAATATGATTTTTTAAGCTTATTTCAACCCTTAATAGTAAAAATTTGTTGAAGTTTCATAGTATTATAACTAAATATATACATTTTGTACAGATAACCATTGAGACTCATTTCTAGAAGATTGAAAATTCAATTTCCTTCTCTTCTCCACTTATTCTTTGTTGGAAGAATACAAGATTTACACATTTTAGAAAACCTTGTTAATTTCCATGCATTGTTTTAATGAAAAAAATGCATTTTTTTGAAGTGTTTAAGTGAATTGTAAATTTAAATTGCTATGCAATCATATTGTTAAAAAAACACCCTACAGGGTCATGTCATTAACACTTATAGAAATGAAATGACTGATTATCAACAACAGTATAAAGAAAAGAGTTATTCGTTTGACCAAATAGGTTAAATTTTCGATGACCGTTGCAGACGATTCTAATTTACACGTCACATCCCTCAATTTAAGAATCAAATAAGCTCTTCCAAATTTTCCATGACCGTTGCAGACGAATCCAATTTACACTTTAAACCCCTCAATTTAAGAATCGACTGAGCTCTCCATCAGAGTATTTATATTTAATCATTAAATCTCCATCAGGGTATTCATATTAAAACATGCTTTAAACAATGATGGAAAGGATTTAAATATCAGTCGCAAATTTGTTTTCTAAATACCCCTTCACCATCAATTCGACTAGTCTGCATATTATGTGACAATCTGGCCGATCGAAGGTGTAAGAGGTCACACAGTGTTTGAACACAGTGTAAGTCGATACGTAATGCCTGTACCAAAGGGACGAGGCAATTGCTGAACAAGGTGTGTATTACATATATATTCCTTTCAGCAATTCTTTTATATTTTGTTCCTTATGTTCAACAGTCTACATAACTGTTACTATAAGCTGTAATAGTGGTAATTAATAAATTATGGTCATACGGCTTGACTGCGGATGACAATGTCTTTGATAAGGAAGATTTTCTTTTTTTATTCATTTATTAATTTTTCTCCAAATTAGATCCCTAGTGTATTGTACATATATGATTACAAATACGAAGGAATGCAGGGGCAGATCCAACCAGTTTTAAAAGGGAGTTCCCAACCCGGGAGAAAGGAGGTTCCAACCCTCGACCGGAGGAATTATGGTATACCGTTGTCGTCAACACGCAGTAAAATAACTACAACCTGCTAGCACCATTTCCCATGAAACTTTGGTGAATTGTTTATATCTATTAATGTAAGGTCCATCTCGATTTTTAGAAATTTCAGATTTTTGTTATATAAACATAACTGTCTAATAATCTAAATAATAACTTATTAATTAGTGATGTTCATATAAATTATTTAAAAGAAATTTTTCTTACATGTAATTGTTAATTTTTAATATTAGTTATATATATTTAAAAAAAAATGAATTCTTTGGCTTTATGTTAACAGTTTGCCCAATCTAGACAAAAGGGTTATTTAATAGATTTTTAGGAGAATTATTGAGAAAGGCTTTTTCCTGAAGTATTTGTCTAATATGTCGTCAACGCACACTTGTCTCAGAGTTGCTAGAACCATACTTTCTCAAATGTATACACTTGTATTATACATGTTATAAGACTCTCAAACAAGTAAACTTATTTATAAATCAAAATATGTTTATAAATATCTTAAATGTATTGCATTTGCGTTTGATCACTGAATCCTCTTTAAAATTCAGGCCAATATTTTATATTACCCAGTATTGTCCTGTATTATCTGGTAAAACCCAGTAAAACCCGGGTTTTCCCAGTATTTCCTACTGGGCTGGGCAATACTCATAAAACCCGGGTTTTTGCCAACCCTGGAATATTTACATGTGATCGGACCAACTCATGCAACCACATTGTTTTCATATTATAAAACTTTGTACTGAGCATTTTAATTATGAAATTTTATTAGTTTAGGTTTAAATTGTGCAGACCGAATCATGCAACCTTCACAAGGCTTTTCAGATTTAATTAATGTTAATAGACGTGTTAGAAAGGTCGACACAACTGCTGGAGCTAGTGTTGGATGGAAAATGTAAGCAATATGATGTGGGGACCATCTCAATAAGTACAAATACTAAATATGTTTGTTACCTGTTTGGGCGTGTTTGATACCGCTGAAATAAATATTAAACAATTGTATTAACTGAAGTACGCCGGAGAAGATAAAATTTATTTTCAAGAACCAGAAAAGGTTCAATAATTATATTTTTAGATAAATTAATATTAGTCTTGTGAATAATTTATCTTGTTTTAACATCTTGTAAAACTAATGTACAAGGATGTAGTCGTATATATATAAAAAAAAGCTATAAAGGGACTCACACAAAAAAAAATCCGTGATTTTGGATTGCTAATCCGTGATATCGGATTGGTAATCCGTGATCTCAAATTGCTAACCTATGATCTCGGATTGATTATCCGTGACCTCGGATTTTTTATCTGTGATCTCAGATTGACAATCTGTGATCTCGGATTGATAATCCGTTATCTCAAATTGATAATCCTGAACTGAATAACTATAACAATTGAATCACTTTTGTATTAGATAAAAACTCACATTTACTGAAAGCTAGCTCAGAGTCATCAACAACTAATAAATAATTCAATGTCCTCTTATAAATTCGGAAGCCGTTATTTACCTTGAGTTAGTTTTCAGTAACTGCGAGTACTATAATATTGGTACTTTGTGTCTTTTGTCTTTATGTTAGTTTTTTTAACGCTTCCTGCCCATGAAATGAGTCATGCCATTTTCAACCGATTTTCATAGTATGTACTTATGATTTACTGTTACAACTTACACCACTGTCTGAGGTTAAGAGAAGGGTGGAGGGCTTACAAACATATTTAACCCCGCAATATTATGTATGAACCTGTCACACACCAGCAGCCTCTTATTCAGTGATTGACGTAAGTTTTAATTTAAATGCGCACAATGGTAGTATTCACAACAAATAAATAGATAAATAAAAAGAAAACAGAAAATGTCAGAAAACAAATTATAGAAACACAAAATAACCCCTTCCCCTTGCTCATCTGTTATAAGAATAGAAAAGGTGTCCACGATGTTTGTTTCTATATATCATTATCAAACGTCTTTGGAAAGAAGGTATAATATTTTCTTATAATTTTGATTTTAGAAATAAAAAGTTTGAACAACATTGAAAGAAAGATAAAAGCAAACTTTGCTTCAGTTGACATTTGACAAACTTAGCTTAAGTTGAAATTGTTTACCGTAGCTAAAACTCATACCCTATAACGGGCTTTCATTAATGTAATTCAATCGACCCTTTGAGCCCAATTGCCATCGTGTAAAACAACATTTGTCTGCATTTCCGGTTCCAATGGGTTTTATCCTTTCGCCAACAAAGTTCGAGGGAATCTTGTAACTGTACCCTCGGTCCGTCTTTCCGTCCCTTACACACTTGTTGACACTCTATATTCAGCATCGTTCTAGAATTTTGACCATACTTGGTTCATTCTTAGTCCTTTTGAATGTCTAGAATCCTATTAATTTTCAAAGACAAAGGTCAAGGTCACAGTTGGAATGAGTTTTGATATACTTGTTAACACTCTTAACTCGTCATAGTTTGACATATTTCAACTTTACTTACCATATAATTAACCCTTATGTAAATCCAGAGCTCAATTCGTTTTCAAGTTCATAGGTCAAAGGTCAATTGTCCACTAATTGTTACACCATATAAGAGACAGCAATTAAGACTGTAAACGCCGAGAGAAAAAGAAATGTAAAAAAAAATATTAAATAAAAGAAAGTGTGAGTGTTGACGCAATAAGACGTTTAGAGACAGTCAGAGTAGTTTGGAACTTTATGGAGACAGCAAAGGGCTGAACTAAAACAAACAGTTGAACAGGGTGCTAAACTTTTCGTGAGACGTTAAACAAATGCTACCCAATCATACAATGCTATGTTATTAGGCAAGTGAACAACAAAATCCCAAATTTGTATTTTAAAATAAATCATCGAGCATTCATCTTGTGTAAAAGGGGATTTGTGTTTTCCAAAATAGTTTTTTTTTCAATTGTTCCAAAATGAAAGCAAAACTATAGTTTGTTTCCATAGGGGATACAGCAGGCAAAAACCCTTGTTCAATTATTTTGCAAGAATTTTTTGATTCTGAGAATAAAAATAAAAACATCCCCCCCCCCCTTATTCCATAAAGATTTGACTTATTGTTTTTTTTACATTTTGCATTCTTAAATCAAATAATTACAATTACATGTATGGTTATCATTATCTTCAATATACAAATGTACCCCGTAATTGATTTTTAATTTCCCATTTGATCATTAATTTTGGTTCTTTAACAATGCTCGATTGGTCATGTCTTGCACACTATGAATAACGTATTTCATTGGCCATACAGGTAATAAAAAACGATAGAGTATTTATAATTTTGGAGATGACCCCCACATCATATTGTAATCATCTTCCATCCAACACGAGCGCCAACAGTAGTGTCTACTTTTCTAACACATCTATTCACCCTAATACACTTTTACTGTTGCAACTTTGTGATGTTTACATGTATATACAGACAATTCCATTGTAAATTGCAGATATAAGTAATATCGATCCATTTAATGAGATATGCAAACCAGGTAAGTACAGTTTTCAGAATCAAATAAAGAATTTGAAGTATTTGTAGTTTGAAACTGCTTTTCAAACCAAATTTAATGTAAATTTAAAAGTATATAGCATTGTATTCATTAGAAATAGAAAATAAACACACACAAACAATAATGTTTAGACACTAAAAATTGTATAAATAAAATCATCATAGATACTAGGATTAAAATTTTATATTTGCGACAGACGCGCGTTTCGTCTACAAAAGACTCATCAGTGACGCTTGAATAAAAAAATATTAAAAAGGCCAAATAAAGTACGAAGTTGAAGAGCATTGAGGACCAAAAATTCCTAAAAGTTTTGCCAAATACAGCTAAAGTAATCTATTCCTGAGGTAGACAAGCCTTAGTATTTCAAAAATTCAAAGTTTTGTAAACAATTAATTTATAATTATGAACATATCAATGATAACTCAAGTCAACACAGAAGTGCTGACTACTGGGCTGGTGATACCCTCGGGGAATTAATACTCCACCAGCAGTGGCATCGACCCAGTGGTTGTAAATAAACTCATCATAGATACCAGGATCGAAATTTGCGCGAGCCATACACCAATAGATAAACAATAGTAGTAGGTATAATTTAAATTTACACGGCTTTCGGGGAGCTTTTCTGGATTTCCTTTCATTTGGAACACTCAAATAAAAAAAAATATAAATAATATTATCCTTATATTAATTTAAAGTATATATTCCAGTTTGTTTTGTTTAGGTAGCCAGTATGTGAAGAATCATTGTAATGTATGTAAGTTCATCATGTAGTCTTCTTAGTTACCCGATGATGTTTTTAGCTATCCCTGTAGTGATATGTAGTTAATATTCTGTGTTGGTTTTTTTTAACTATCCATATTTTTGTTACTATTTTTAATCTTTTTTTATCTTCAACAGTCAATACTTTACCTCAGCTGCTTATTCTTAAAAAAAGTATGTGTGACAGTATATGAATGAAATGAAATTAAAAAAATAATGTTAAACATGGTTTCTCTTATGGTTGTGGCCTGTTATCTATTTCTTGCGTGAAGAGATACATCTCGTATTACACTGCACGGAGTTTGGTACGAAAAAGTGAAACGAAAAGCTGCGTTAATTTGATTGGCTTATCCAGCATCAAGAGGCGCTATTAAAAATATTTCAGTGGCTATTTGTTAGGTTATCAAAGATTAAGATGATGTCTATTTCGTCAATGGCAACGAACATATGTGTATTCTTCAATAGTATACAAAACACTCACATTTTTACCTGAAAATATTCTATTTGTTAAGTGTTAATACATTCTGAAGAGTACAAAAAGTTTTATAATGTCGGATGTTTAAGTTTGACATTAGAACAGGATATATGACGACATACTGGTATGTCACGCAAAAGACTAGATCAACCATTCCAAACGCGAGCGTTTACCATAAGAGAAATACGTTTAACAACTTGTGAGAATTAGATATCACTTGATATAAACTCTTGTTATTTAATTTAAATAGTAATAATTAACTCGTCGAAGGCTCGCTTATTATTATATTGAAATTAAATAACTCGAGTTGATATCAAGCGATATCCAATTCTCACTCGTTATAAAACCTATAATTGTTAACACAACGGTAATGTATCAAGAAAAATAGTAAGGATTAACAAAATTACAATAATTTACTTATTATGATAATAAATTAAAGAAGAATGTTGCTAGTCACGGTTTTGTTACTGTTATTGTATTATAATTTTTGAGCACATCAGAACTAGAGCTTATTTGGCTTCATTTTTATCAACAGGAGCTGTTGAAAGATCCCTTGCAAAAGTTTTCAAGTGAGATCCGCCTTGCCGTTTAATCGAAACGATTGCTTATAATTATGTAATATTTATCTACTAACTATCGGCTGCTGCCCATATCGATAGATTTTGTTATTAAACAAGCCATTGTATATAGCAATCTAGCTTAAAAAATGAACCGGTATATCTAAATTTAATTTTTGTGCAAACAAAAACCATAGTATGCATTAATACATGAAAGTTTTCATCATTTGAAACAAACATAAACAAGTCAGGAGCCTGTAATACAGTGGTTGTAGTTTGTTAATGTGTTACATTTTTGTTTTTCGTTAATTTTTTGTACATAAATTAGGCCGTTAGTTTTCTCGTTTGAATTGTTTTACATTTGTCATTTCGGGGCCTTTTATAGCTGACTATGCGGTATGGGCTTTGCTCATTGTTAAAGACCGTACGGTGACCTATAGTTGTTAATTTCTGTGTCATTTGGTCTCTTGTGGAAAGTTGTCTCATTGGCAATCATACCACATCTTCCTTTTTATATAAAGGACAAATTGTGAAATAATTAAAACAAAAAAACTACGGACTGATTAAAGCGCATAAATTGTGGTATAATATTTTTTTAAATTGCAAAACGATTGCAATAATTGTTTATGTTGTTACTTGTATTTGAAAACAGACTACAAATGTTAATGTACTGCAGGCGATTACTGAACAGTACTGAATTTTGTTGATACGATATTAATTGTGTTTGAATCAATGTCGTTATTTACGAAACGCCTGTCATGATTCAGTCAATTTTCTTGAATACAAGTGTTATTTGAATGTATAACTCAGTATACATGTTTTTGATATATTTCAGTTCCGCAAAATTGTAAAGATTGTTGTGAAGACTGTAAAATCATTTTACCAATTAAATGCTTTTGTGTTAAGCAACTTCATTGTCCAGATAGAAACAGTGATAGACCTGCGAAGATGGAATGTAAGAACACGTAGAAATGTTAATTTACAATGCAATAAAACTAAATAAAAACAGATCATGATCTACAGCTACCAACACTGCATGAATGTATGATTACTTTTTTGGATTCCTGAATGAGATGACATGTCAATATAACATCATTTAAACAATAATCGTGTTATCGTTTATAACATTCTAACGCTTTCATGTCATGATAGACTGTTATATGAGGTTTGTGTTACATAAATATGACCATTAACATTCCATTTGTCCCAGGCAGAATCCGCCCTCCATCCCTCGTTCATGATTATCATTGATTACGACTTTTCAACAGACGTGTACCTGTAATGAGCAACAGGTAAGGTGCAAACAGTGATATCGATGTAGCACCCTTTTAAGCTGATACAGTTTTTGCAGGGTTGATGTTGCTCCGTTTTTAGTTTTTCTGTGCAGGTTTTTTTTTATCGACATAAATAGTGCTGTATGGATTTCTTTTTGAATGTTCTGACTACTCGTTTATAACACCGAAAGATTGTTATATAACCTGAATCAATTATGAAAGAAAAATTGATGAAACATATTTTATCAAAGTATTTGATGCTTTCAAAACAGAACTTTAATTTAAAAACCATCATAATAAATGTTTAATTCACCTCATTTATAAAGAAAATATAAGCTATTGCAGCCAACACTTAGTGTCTAATATCTAATTGTTGAACTGTCTACTTTAAAAAAAAATGTCAAAGTTACCTCAGGAAATAAACTTTAAAGGAATAATGTAGTTAGGGTTCTTCTGAATAATATTTATCTTTTTAGTTCCAACTGAGTGAACGACACGGTCTTCAGAAGTAGTTCTTGGTTCTGGTGGGTTATTAAAAAAAATTCTTCATTGATAAAACGAGACACATTTTCAAACTGCGATGGGTGACCTTTCAAAAAGGATTTTCTGTATTTATTTTTTTTTTAATTTTGTGGCATATAGAGCAGCCATGATGCCACATTTCGTTCAATTGACAATTTATAAAAGTTCGCCTTTAAATCTGTTTCCTTTGAAATATACTCGAAAAATTAAGAAAATAATAAAATTATCAGAAATAATGTTTGGGAGCCCTTTTGTAAACTTATTTCAGTTTGTTCTGATATACACGTAGTGTGGTCATGTCCTTCAAAGGCAATTATTTGTTCTGACTTAACTCTTAAGACGAATAAATGTGAGATACTCTAAATCATCGTTTCGTGGTTTATTATATACAATTTCTCTTTCGTGTTAGTTAGCTTACACACGACATTTTATCTGTGTAATCATCAGTAAAATTGATGTTACTCTGGCTGGTTTCAAAATGACAATTCCAGCCGATCAGTATAGGGGCATAAGGAATTCTAGATATTGTTCTGTTTACTTCATAAGGCACGTTTATTTCTTTTTTTGACACCAGATGCAAGTGAAAAGAATCTTTCAAAAGTTTGTCACGGTTTATTGCCATTGAACCTGTTGAAATGCATACTAGTATCAAATTCCTAATTTACTTGTCGATTTGTTTTTGTAATCATATGAGGCAGAATTTATTCAGAATCTTCTGAAAGGCAAAACGAAAAAGCACCTTGCGAAATTCTTTAATCTTACTTCTGAATAACCCATATTTCAGTCAGTACTTGCATCTCATGAATCCCAGTGAACTTGAAATTAAGAATACAACTCGATCTTTTCCTTAATATTGGCACAGGTGGACGACTTCAGACTAAAATCTATGAAAAACAGTTTCATTTCACCTTTACAAATATCAACTTCCCAATTCTCAGCAGAAAGATACCTTCTGTTCATCGTATGGTATTTACATATCTCAATTTGTTCGTTATGCTTGTACGTGTTCATACTTCACAGACTTCATATACAGGAGTAGTTTTGTCCTTACGAAGAAACCTCGCTATCAGAGTTATGAGTAGGAAATATTTAAAATGAAACTCCATAAATTTTAAAGACACCATAACGACTTGTTGATCTTTACTATGTGTCTATGTCTAAACTAACTAACGACATTTTTAACACGTCTTAGATTGTGGTTAACCATCTAAGTCGTCTAGTCTGCTTAACCATAACGTGGCACATCCCGAATATGACTGTTTTGCCGAGTGTGAATTCGCACTGCTATACGACGTGTCGCGGTTTTTATGTATCACAAATTCATCGCTCGTGGTTCGTCTACATGATTTTTGTTATGTGTTGTTTGTAATAAAAAATCAGCTACGTCAATTTATGATTTAAATTTTAAAGTAACTATATGCATTTTTTTTATACATATACACAGTTTTTACGTAGAAGAAAAACTAACATGGTTAAAAATACAAATAATAACATCATTACAAACACAATTCCATTCTAATATTCCTGTCATGTTTAAAAAATGCATAAAATAACACCATTACAAACTCAACCCCAATTTAAAGTCATATAAAACGAGTGACTGGTGAAAAATAATGTTAATCTATTTCTTAGCCATAAACTTAGTCCTCTGTGGACGATTTTATCATTTTTTACGTTTCCATATCATATTTCATCATATTATGGTCAAAAAAAATTTTCACTTGGTCAGTGTTGTTGTGAAATATGGCAGCTTATTAATGGTCGTGTTTTACAACAGAAGTTTACCGATTGTCACCTTTGTAAACAATCAACAAAGAAGCATGAATATTCAGGTCAGCACGTGTATAACATATAAGATACAGTTATAGTTGGATGACGGAGCGATGTTTACGTTCATTGACTCTCTCTACCAATTTGGTTTTCCCCTTCGCAGTTGCGTATTGCGATCTCCGGATTTTTACGAGAAAGTTAACGCTGAGGTAACTAACTGCATATGGATAGCATGTCGGCGAATTGTTGGCTGGAAGCAAGCAATTAAAAAAAGTAATTTTCTTCCAGATTTGGACAAATTAAAGAGTTTTCTTCAAAAAAAAGTTTATGTATATAAGTTTTATAATAAAAACTAGCTATTTTGTAATAAAAAACATATGCATTATTTTTTTTCAATTTAAAGTTTAATATGACTTTAATATTATTGTACATGTACGTCTATAAATAAACCAAATCTATTTTATTTTTTTGAAATTTATCTGTGATAATATAAACTTCACAAAAAATACGTCAATGTTTGTGACGTTGATCAGTTTATGTGACGAGCAGTTTATATGTCGTTTGTGGCGTCCTGGTGTGCTGTCGTAAATTCATGGGAGGTGTCCGTTGTTATTCTGCTGTTGCAATGTACTATTATATTATTTATTGATTTATTTCTCCGTCCTGAGTGTTCTTGTGGTTTTTTTTTCTATATTCCTGTCAGGTAGTGTTTTCATTTTAATATTTTTTAAATATAACCATATAAGTGGGAGGTTTGACTAGACATAAAACCAGGTTCAACCCACCAGTTTTTCTTAAAATGTCTTGAACCAAGTCAAGAATATGGGAGTTGTTATCAAATAGTCCGTTTCTATGTATGTATGCGTTTGTTTATGTTGCACTAAAGTGTTTCTGTTATTCTGTTGTTTTCCTCTTATCGTTAATGTGTTTCCCTCGGTTTTAGCTTGTTACCAAGATTTGTTTTTGCTTTATCGAATTATGACTATTCCGCGTTAACTACTAATGCCTTTATGTATGCATTTTTGTTTGTCATATTGCTCCATAAACAAATAAACTGTGTCTTAAAGATAACACATTGAACTTTTTATTTCGAACAGATGATAAGTGTTCAGGTACACATTGTCCATGTCGTAATGGAGGTACTTGTAGTAAAGATCCTACACGTACACGAGCAACCGCAGAAGACATTAAATGCTCTTGTTCTACAGGTATTTATACACTTAATAACTACTAGAACACACCCGCGAAATCAGGGGCATTTAAAGCGTGGTTGAAATTATGTAAACTGTTGCAGGATGAAATTTTGGAAAAGATTTTATATTTGGAGAAATCCAGGAATAGTATCAATTTTTTAAAGGATTTTATGACGAGAATTTCAGGAAAGGTATCAAAATTCATAGGTACTTGGGGACAGGACAATTTTTTTAGCCCTCCTGCTTTATTCCAAAATCTGTTATATTTTTTGTTTCCTATTAACTATCATTAATTTCTTCCCGTTTTCTGTGCACTATGAACATGCATAGATACTATATATAGTATATAAGTGACCGCCGTGGATAGTAAACTTGGAATTGATAGTAAATAGCAAATAAACTTTATAGTATATATATGTTCATGGTATACAGAAAAATGCGAAAATAATTGTCCTGTCCTCAAGTACAAAATGTACCTATGAAAATTGTGTGTAAACGGAAGCCTTGTCTATGACTTAAAATTCCGTCCGACGAGACAGAAACAATATCCGGACGCCTTTATTTTCGTTTTCCTCGCAAAATAACTCAAACCGAATAATCATTAGCAAGGATGACAAATGCGACTATGCATAGTACCTATAGGACACAGTGGCATGATGATTAATTTATTGTGGAAGGAAGAGAAGTGAAACACACAATGAGGTCTTCTCATTCAATAGTATGGATAATACAATAGAAATAGTAGCAATCAGCGTCAGCAAATTATATTTACCTCCAACATATTTCATATTATATTGTACTAGATGAAAATTAAACATGATATTGAGTATTTTAAAAGTCATTTGCTTGACTAAAAATGGTACATTGCTTCTGATTTTTACCTGCTTTGTCTAAGGCAAACGCAATTCTAGTTACTGCTTGAATCCGCCCGTCAGTTTATTTGTCCGGACGACCTTGGATAAAAAATTTTGGTCAAAATTTTCTTGTCTTCTACGAAAGCAAATGATTTCATATTTGGTCAGCAGCTACATAATTTTACATCCGCCGTGCAGCAACTTCAAATTTGCCGTAAGTTTGAAATATCGATACAATAATTGTACAAGGAAAATTGACGTCAAACCTGTTTGACTTCTAATCAAGGGAATTATTTCATGTTTGATCTGCAACCGCTTGAAAATCATGAGCTGTAGCAAGTAAGCTAATTTGACATCCACCGTACAACCACTTCTTGTTTGCCGATAGTTTTAAATTCATTGTACAAAGATATTTTTGTCAAACATGCTTGGCTTCTATGATTAAAGGGAATTATCCGTTATTCTTTAGTATACATGTATCGTTTATTCAATTGCATACAGCAGCACATGTCTTTTCATCCATTGATATGAAATGTAATGGAAAAGAGTTAAATTAATTGATTTTCAATTCACAATTGTAATTTTATAATATACAGCGTAGATCATTTATTTTACGTTAAGTTAAATAGATAGAACCTCTGTGTACAGAAACTACCCATGTAGTCTTATTTTTATTAACAATGTCATCAACATAACAAGTAGCCACGTATCAATGTGTCATTTACAAACAGTAAAGCCTTGAAATTAGTAAACCAAGTTTAAACATTCAAAACTTCGATTGCGGGAGTATAAAATCGTGAATACACTATACTATGTACGGTTGTGTATGGTGTGGAGATCTAATAATTCTGCTGACAACTACTGTCCGAATGGCTTGTGAAATATTGATTCATAGGACTGAATGCAGACCAAAGTAGACAGTCCGTACCATTTTATCTAGAGGTCACAATTATCCTGCAAAAACTCTTAAACGATATATATCTTATTAAAATAGCATTTAAAGACGTAATAATGATAATTATTTGGACTAGTATTGCGAAAATGTTTGTATTTTTTTGGATCTTGTTTCATATAGTTGTATGAATTTCAAGATTAAATTTACGTCACAAAAATACGTCACTGTTTATGGTGTGCTGCGCTGTTGTTAAATAATGATGTCTCTTGTTATTCTGCGGTTAACATGTTGAAATGTACTATTTTATAATATATTAATGGGTTTTTCTGTGTTGAGTGGTCTTGCGTTTGTTTGTACTGTATTCCTGTCACGTAGTATTGTCCTTTTAGCGGTATTGGTTTAACATTGCCATTCAAGCTGGAGGTTTGCCTAGCCATAAAACCAAGTTCAACCCACCAGTTTTTTTCTTAAAATGTCCTGTACCAAGTCGGGAATATGGTGGTTGTTATCAAATAGTTCGTTTCTATGTATGTTGCCATTTGTTTTTGTTGCACTTCAGTGAATCTGTTGTTCCTTTGTATTCCTCTTATAGTTGATGTGTTTCCCTTGGTTTTAGTCTAACTCTGATTTGTTTGATCTCAATCGATTTATGACTTTTGAATAGCGGTATACTACTGTTGCCTTTATTTTGCTAGAAAATAGCCAATGCAATGCATAAAACATCGCATGCCATATGCATAAGGGGTCACGCATGGACTGTCTTACTTTATAGTGATGCTTATGTGGCACACCAAAGATAATAATAATTTTAACAAGACATTTACCCATTTTACATTAGAATGTAATACAGAAGATTAATTCACTTGAATACATTGACCTCTTATCTTGTCGACTTTTAAGTCCGTCAGATAGTTCCACAGAAGAGACCATGGTGAAATTTGAAATTTTGAAACAACTCTTAATTTTCATGGGAACGAAGATTTTGCAAGTACTTTGTAGTCATAAGTTTATCAACAAAGTAATTTTGAAATTAAGAGGCAAAGGTCAAAACTAGCCCTAGCTCATAATAAAGAAAATGTGAACCTTCTTAAAGTAAGAAGGTCTACTCGTGTACCCGACGTTCTGTTTTGAGGACATATGATCCTGCTTGATAAAGTTGCACCAACTTAAAACAATTTAGGGTCTACAGAGAAATGACGATTTAAGTGTTCGAGGTGCTATATATGCATCAGTAGAATAAATATATTACCTATGTAGAATGTTTGCTGTTATTTCAACTTGATACAAACTCAACTATGTATAGTTTATTGTTTTATAAAAACAATTCACTCCACTTCGTAGGTTGATATTGTTTGCATTCAACGTTTTTTTTTTTTTGTTTTTTTTTTTATTGGGTATTATTTTCACTATTAATGCTGAACCACGTGGTAAACACAAATGTCTAATAAAAAAGGCAAACTATAAAAAAAACGTTGAATGCAAACGATATGAACCTACAAAGTCATATAATATAACTGCGCTTCTTGATATTAATCATTCTACTTCAAGAAATGTTCATGCCTGGCAAGCCAAAAGTTGATGTAACTCGCAACACATTTTATATATTTTCAACGATTTATTCTTGGGGTCGTCATATTTAACTGATTTGGAACAGCACTGAAATAAAAAACTTAATTAAATGTCCATCTACGGAGTGCAGAAAACTTACACAAAATTGAATGCGAAATGCAAATTGGTAGATTCAAAACCCTTCGCATTATTTTAGAATTTTTATAGCTTTTCAGAAAGTTTATTGAATTTTAAACAGCCACTTTATGATTTGGTATTAGTACAATATAATATAAGAAGATGTGGTTTGACTGCCAATGAGACAACTTTCCACCAGGGACCAAATGACATAAATGTTTTAGCAACTAAACGTCATCGTGAGGCATTCATCGATACGCAAAACCCATGCCGCTTTAAGCAAGCTATAAAAGTCCCAGACATAACAAAATGAAAAGCCTTCGAAACGAGAAAAAAATAAAAGCCTGAATAATGTACAAAACAACAAACGAATAACAAATATGATACACAACTAAGAATCACAATCACTAAACTACAATTTCCTAATTGAGGACAGGCACATATATACTGAGAGTTAAACATATTTTTGTGCGTTAAAAATTACACCATAGACTTTCTTTATTCAAAGAATAAGTTCAAAGTACATGACTATTAGCCTTTCACCATAATAAAGAAGGTTTATAATGTTTTGTCTTTAGGAGTCAAATTAATTAAATTTGGTTAACGACGAAAAGTTTAGATATTTAGCTTGCAGGTTAAAAACAATACAGAGAAAATTGTCCGCATCTTTTTGCACCGAATAACATCCGTCGAAAACAATATCTTTTTTATCTATCACATTTTTTGTTCTTAAAAGACATCGTGTGTTTTAGTAAAGATTGACATTTAAGACTAGTGTGTGAAATGTATTGCCTCTTTTACAAATGTATATTCACGCACAAAGAGAAAATATATATAGAGAGACACGTTTTAACATACTTTTATTGTAATAGAGAACTTTCCCTTTATACGCAATATTTTCATGCAAGTACAATATAATCTTACATTCACACACACTCCTCTGTTTTCATATTTAAATGAACCAATGGATTTAGTAAAATTTCCAACTCCAGAATATCTTTCACAGTTGATTAGTATCTGAAATATCGATACTAAATATACCATGCTGAATCTTCATTTTTATGCATTGATTTTGATTTCCTTTTTTGGAAGAGGATGCATTCTTTGGAAAATAAAATGTTTGACTAAATGTTTTTGAATTGCTTGTTTTGAAATGGAATAGAAAAAGTAGTTTATTTCTACTAAAAATTATTTTTTATTTAATAGATTTATTTTGAATCCATGTAAAGTTCCCCGAAACGACGTCCAAAATACGGTTGTCATTCAATTTAGGATAGCGGGAAAAATAGTCAATGGCATCCAATGTACAAAGAGTTGAAGAGCTGTGATGCTCTTACACATCAAATGACAATGTCAGAAACGAAATATATAAACAACAAAAGTGAACTTATGGGATTCTTTGATATGCTGAATATTTCGGAAGCCTATTAGGGCCATCGTTTTTTTATTTATTTATCTTTTATTGTCGACTTTAATCTTGGAAAAATCTTGAAATTACCACCTTTAATCTTGAAATTATCAACACTAATCTTTGAATTATCAGTTTTTATCTTGGAACTATCAACATAAATCTTGAAATT